ACTCTTTCCCTACACGACGCTCTTCCGATCTCATGGTTCGAGTTCACCATTATTACACCTTGGGAAATCATTTTGGACGTCACCTCCGGCATTTACATAGCCAATGAAGGCAAAAGCTTAAGGAAGACAAAACTTTGATTTAATGTCATCAAAAATAATATTTTCTTACCATAAATGCACAAGAAGAGTGCGAAATAGAAAGAAGTTCTTGTCATTTTGAAGAGTTTAACTTTAACGAAAGTGAAGTTGTCAAAAAACTGATGGAGCTTTGAAAGAGAAAAGTTATTTAAATACTTTTTGTTTCAATATTGAACTTTATGTGATGAGAAAAAAATATTAAACAACTATTTATCTAAATATTTTAATTATCAACATCACGAATATACTTAGCAATTCACTTTTTTATTTAATGTCAAATCGTGATAAATACATCATGAATGAGTGATATTTAATGCGCCCTAGATATGCAAAAATGCCTAACTATTTCCAAAAGAACCTCTAAGAAAAGTAAAAATGAATAGACAAATTAAGATATAAATATATCTTAATATTTTTTTTTAATATCAAAATAATTTGTTGCATTTTATATGAAAAGAATCCATGGCATTATTTGTGATAGCTCGAAATCAAAGTAAGTCTTGATGATAATAAAAAAGCATTGAAATCTGTTTGAGATTCCGATTTATTTTGATTAGCTGAAAACTTTATTTACTAGATTTTCATTCCAGAATTTCTGAAAATTCATAACAGAACAAAATAATTTTTCTTTTTATTAAAAGTGACCAACTGAAGTGACTATGGAAATTGCGGTACGTAACAACAGCCATCAGAAATTGGAATAAATATGTATCCAACTGGGCATTTTTCACCTGCACGTCACCTCCAGCATTTACATAGCCAATGATGGATAAAGCTTAAGGAAGAGAAAACTTTCATTTGATGGCACCAAAACTAATATTTTCTTACCATAAATGCACAAGACGAGTGTGAAATAAAACGAAGTTCTTGCCATTTTGAAGAGTTTAAATTTAATGTAAGTAAAGTTTTAAAAAAATGAAGTTTTGAAAAGAAAATTTCCTTAAATATTTTTTGTTTGAAAATTGAATTTAATGAAAAACGAAAATGTTGCTAATCACTGATTCAATATTTTTATCAACATCACGTAGGTGTTTCGGTCGCTTAATCACGACCGATCGCCTTGCTATCCTGAAGTTTATTGTCGCTCACGCGAGCCCCCACGAGTGCCCTCTGAGTTTAAGAAGTTCGATACCACGCCCCTCAGAATCCTTCATTATTGTCATGCAGACTTGTAATTTAAAAGTTTTGCATCGTTTTAATCAGAAAGCGTTGTGAAGAAATTTCCCACTTTAAGAACAAGTAAAACGTTCCAAATGTTCTAAATCACGTAGAGAATTGAATGTGATTCAAGTTTTCTGATTTATACATAAATAGAAAACATTTCCCCTTCGTAACAACAACATTTCTCATTCATTTTGATTACATCTAAATGGCTTATTCATATTCACATAATGATTGAATTTTTGTCGTAATTTTCCTTTTGTTATCTCGCTTATATTGTGTGCCCTCAAAAAGCCTGAGTCATTAAATCAGATGTTATCGCAACCTTCCAGCTCCCACTGACGCACAATTCACATCCCTCAACCCCTAATTGCCGAGAAAGACAAAGCAGTGTTAAACAGCTCCTCATTTTGTGTGTTGTTGACATTTTATCGCTGTCTTATCTCACAGATATATCTCCAACATTGGAAGATTCAACTAAGAGAAACTTTTTTTTATACATTTGACATCAGCAGTTTTGTATTCACAGAATAAATCGGACAAATGCTTTAATTTTGAACTCGCCGAAGGCGCTTATCTCGTTCCATTTTTACTGTTAATTAGAGAATGATGGAAGACAATGCTTATTGTCATTCTGTCATGATATCAGCAAATAAACGAGTCATATGTGAACAATATTTTCGTGCGTTTTATAGCGTTTCTAAATGTGTTTCTTTCTCCCCTTCCAACTTATTTTCCTACATCACACGCCTCTGTTTAGGAATTTGCTGATAAAGAATTTGTCGCATTGTTCTCTTTCCATATGTTTATGAAGACATAAAAAAGCAAAAGCTACAAAAAAAAGTAAATAAACAAAACTTCCGGAAAGTTTGTTGAATTATCATAGCCTTCCGGCAACTGCAGTAAGAAAAACTGTGAAATTCATGATTTTTCTTTTCGTTTTTGCTTTCCATTACCACATTATGAATAATTCAGATCTTCAGAAGAAAGATTTACGATGCAAAAATGGAAGCATGTTCGTTGTTTTCATGGCGCGTTAACGTGAACCTGTAAGTGCAATTGTGAAACGTGTTCATCAAATATTTAAAATTTAAATATTCGATATTATGTTATACAGAGGAAAAGAAATCCCTGGGAGCAATTTTATTTCTTTTTTTCTTTTCTCGAATTTATTTTACGTAAGAGTTTGTTTTGTAAAGTATTAGAAGGGAATTTACGTAATACATTGAAAATCATTTGTTGGGTTCGTGACGGTTTGAAAATCGTTTTGTTTTATTGAATAAAATTCGGAAATTAAAAATCTAAAGGGGATGAAACTTTTATTTATAAAATTATTTAACACTCAAGAGATAGAAATCAGCATCTGACATGTACGTTCTTAAATAATCGACTGCATTAGAAACCAACAACATTTTATTCTAGTCAACATTCCCCTTCATGTACAAACATATGTTGGTTTTATGCTACCACGCATACGGAAATATTTAATATTTAAAAAGAAAGAGAAAGCTGCTGGAAGTTTCAAAGACTTCAGCTGCTATGATTTCTTCAAGATTCTTTTCAGAATTCTGAAACTTTTTAATGAAATAAATGTGAGTTGTCAAGGCATGCCGAAGTCTTTTATGTTTAATAATTGATAGACTGTGCAGACATGAAAAATGAAACTCAACCAAACGGTTAAATGAAAAGACTCGTTACACTTTATTGAACACTTTCTTTTTCTGTTCCTTTCTTCATAAAGGAACACTCACATGTTGAAATAACTTCACCCCAACTTCATAATTCAATGGAAAGGGAAAAAGAAGCAACAAAAGCCTAAACTCAATGCTTTTCATAAAAGCAAAAAACAGAAAGCTTTTCACAAAGCTACGAAAGATGAAAATGCGAGTTATGTTGAATGCATTGAAAGGCATGGCAAGTTTGCTTGTAAGATCACAAAAAAAATGAAACAGAACGGGGAGAAGGAAAACTTAAAAGAAGAAGAAGTAAAAACGTGGAAAAATACATTCGACATCATTTATCATCGTCACTATAGCAATGTTGAAAGGGAAAATTAATGAGAAAATTGAATCTCTCAATGTCATTGATTTTTCTTTTCTTTTCATTGAATTCTGTTTTCCTTTCTCACGAGTCAAAGAAATCTGTTTTTCCTAAACTAAACGTCCTCGTCATTGCAGATGATGATTTTTTTTTCTTCTTGCCTTCGCCCCTCTCACTCTTTCGTCTTAAAAAATTTCTTTTCTTTAAATGTCATGTCCACAACTTTCTCTTCTCTTCCGTCCAGGAATTTATTTTCTTCGTTTATTCTTTTTTGTTCATTCTTTGCCGCCTTCTTCAACATTAATTTTAAGTTACACAAGAAAATCCTAGTCATAATCCGAGCATTATGCTCTTCATATGATATCACAATCTTCCAATCTTCTTCAAGAAGAGAAATCAGAATTTACAAGGTCTAAAATCTTCTTTCTTTTCTCTCCTTTTATCATTTTCCCCCTTTGTGGATGCTACCATAGCGATAGCACCAACAGAACAGCAAAGAAGAATGAATGTACTGCATGTAAGTTATATGTTCAAAGTCTCCCCTCTTGCCATAAAAGTAATGACAACAAAATGATGAAATGATTAGACTAACGACAGCAATTTTCAAAATGATGTTTTGTGTACTCAACGCAAGCCTTCGCGTTTCTTTCCCTTTTTCTTCAACCATCCAACCAACCGACGTACTATCGAGCTTAATAAATCGACAACAATGCGAGAACTGGGATCAGTTGAGGTGTATTAAAGGAAATTTAATAAATACAAAACTGAAATGCTTTCGGGGGTGAGATTCCAATTCTTCGAGGATTACTTTTCAGTCACTGACATTATGTAATGATGATATATTTAATATATGTAACATAAAACTGTAAACACAAATCCTATTAGTAGCATAAATCCACATTTTATTTCTGCAGCAAAAAACCGAGATTCAATTTTAATTAATCCAAATGAAATGAGATCATGAAGCGGATTAAAAGTTATTCAATAATTAAATCACCATTTGATGATGAATTAATGACAGGGCATTGTCATGAGAGAGCGAGAAGGTGTCAAGGTTAAATCCAATACATGATGTTACATAAACGGAGGAGATGGGAAAAAAAGAAATCGTAACACATAAAACAAGCACTGTCTGGGAATCAGAAAAAGTGCACTCAACACATTGGAAGTTTCCCGAAACGCTTGCGCATTAAACTTTTTGTAGACTTCATTTGAAAATTCCCAAGCGAAACTCTCCACTTGAATTTCATTCATAAAATAATCTTCTGCCTGTGCAAAGGCATATAATAGCATTCCATCAGATTTCAGAATCCCAGTTGTGTACGAGATTCAGAACCGTTGACATTGCATGGATATTCGTGATTTTAATCAAAGAAAAAAAATAAAAACTTGAACTGAATACAAAATATTCAAATAAAAATAAAAGTGAAATTTATTTAAATAAAATTTATGACTTTAGCAAATCAAATGTGAAGACATTTTTTTGGGACAAATGGATAATAAACTCCCCGGGACATAATGCAAAGTTAAAGTTAGTGTGAATAAATTTGCACCTCACAAGAGATTTTTCGTTCTCAAGAGAGAAGAAAAAGAGAAAAGTTCGAAGACAAGTTTTATATTTTTTCCTCGTAGATATTTGAAAGCTTTTTTTTTCGGCACTTGAGACGACAACTCAATTTATTGATCAAAAAAGCGAAGTGAAAAGAACAAAAATATGAAGAATTTTTCGTCATCATCCCATCAGATGAGAAAAGTTTGTCATTGCTTAACGAAATAAGAAAATTTTCTGTTGAGAAGATTCAATTTGTGGAAAATAAGAAGGCGAAACTTCAGTAACCACCAGAAGCTTGATAAGCAAATATATCAGCCACCTAGAGCAGCAGTTGTTTACTTTTTTCGCCGAAATATTTCATTCGCAATGAGATTGAAGAAGGAGAAATAAATAAATAGTGCAAATGTCTCCATAAATACTAAAAATTGCATAAATTTTCAACTCCATAAGGAGTAAAATAAAATAAAATAAAAATTATTTCATGTGCTGCTAGTGGAACCATATTTTAAGATGAAAAATTTATTTAATAAAATATCTCTTCCTTCGCCTCTCATGTGTTTCGAGTGCAGATAAAAGATAAATTTCACATAATTTATGTGCATAATGTGAAACAGCAGACGAACAAATAAAAATAATAGAAATAAAGAAACTGAAAAACATTCGTAGAAAGATAACGAAAAAAAAAAGAGGAAAATTTTGTGATTGTCATGATTTATAGCGGATTAATACTGTCACAATCATCAATTTATCCTCAATAGAATTGAGATACAGGAGAAAGATAAGGCGTGGATATCGAAACCTTTTGTGAGGTAAAATTTTCTTGTTTTATTTCACTTCGCTTTTCACCGCTTTACAGAACAATGACGAGAAGCCGTTTCAATTCATTCGAATATATTATTCATTAAATCAATTCTTGTACAAATAAAGACACGAATCGATTGCTTTTCTACGCTGAAAATGGAAGCGCATGATGAAAATGGCTTTGAATAAGAGCGTAATGAACAAAGAAAGGAAAGAAGGAAGAATAAACGAAAATAAAAAATAAAAAAATAAGGAGCTACACTCGGTGATTGAATCTGAGATTTTGCTTTTTTTTATGCTTCTTCAAACGAGCTTTTGGATTAGCTCGTAAAGTGCTGGGAACTGGAAACTTTTCTCTTTCCTTCATCTCTACTTCGTGTTCATCTTTTCACGCTCACTTAACATTTTCAGTTCGAAGCACTTCTGATTCGTCGGTGAGTTATGGAGATTATTCTCCAGACGAACGCAACAACTAACTGAGCTGATTTGAACAATTTAATAGTAGTCAGAGCTCCAAGGACAAGTAAATGGTGAAAGCTACTAAGTAAATTATTCATACGCTAGTGTTATGAATAAATTTCCATTCTCTTAAGTAACATGCATCTATGTACATATTTATATAAAACGTACGGGTTTAGTTGTTGCTTTAGACACCATTGGACATATATACGAATAAACATGAACGAGGGAGGGAAAGATATGTCAAACAAACCATTCGAGAGCGAACGAATGAATAATAAGTCCCAAAGCAAACTATAAACAATCCATAAAAGGATTAATAGAAAAAGCTTACAAAGCGACAAGATGCAAAGTCAGAAAGTTCATGATGTGTATCTGTAGTATCTTGCCAATGTAAAGCTAACCCATGTTAACATTGACTACAAGCTTATTTCTTATACTCTTGAGAACCTACCTCACTCTACTGTCAAAGCTCTACTTCATTCATAAGCGTTTGATGATGAATCTCTCTCTTGTCGATTAAATTAAGGGAAGAATGTGAAATTAGTTGTGAAAAGGTCACACAGCGGACAGACAAACGAACGAACGATGGGGAAAAAGGATGCCGAAGCTGTCGCCACATAAACTTATTGAAACTATCTTCTTGTTAATATCTTTATGAGGTTCTAAATATAAGGGAAATTATATGCTCCACTGAACTGTTCGAATGAATTATGAGAACTTTATGTTAGTACGGAAAACATGCATTAATGTGTGGAAATTTTCTACATCATTCTATTTTTAATCATATTCGTAAACTTATTTATTTATGTCTCCATCTTCCTTCTTATGTTGAAATTTTGGAAAAAGTTTCGTCTAGGAAATTTGTTTCCCTAATAATTTGTAACTAAAATGAAGAGAAAGTTAATTAATTATCTATTTCAATGATCAAAGTTTGATAAATCAATACTTGAACAAGGTCTGCGTATGTTAACCTGATTAAAGCTCTTAAAATTTACATGACATGTTTGAAATTTGTAATAAGCGTCAAAGGACTCATTTTCATCAAAGTTTGCTGCAAAAATCCCATTTTAATTAAACGCAAACTTATTCGTATTTGATGAAAATTCTCTGAAACTTTTCTCGAAAAGCTGTTGCAGGTTTTCTCCATCTCTTGGAAATTCTTCATGTTTCTGTTGTTTTTAATTCTATTAAAATTATTGTAAGAAACATTGAAAACCAGAATGGGGTCGAGAACCTGAATAGAAAAGTTATTTCTAAAGAATTTGTGTTGAGTTTGAACCTGAATGATTATCTCTGCTAACCCAATGTAGATTTATCAGTAGCTTCAAACATATTTATCCAATCTTCTTTTTTAATATTCATAAATTTGTTTACTACTCTCTTCTCTATTTTCATTTCATATCTGCTTGTGCCATGAAAGTCTAATAAATTTTTAATAAACTTTCGTCAGGGTGTATGAGATAAAAATGAGACTCGAGACCTAAGCAGATCATAATCTGAAAAAGAAAATTCATTGAAATTTGTTTGTTATGTAATGTAAAAGAAGAAAATATGAGATCAAAATACTGTTTATGACTTTTTTGCTATTTTATGGCGTCACGGAAGAGAAGGAAAAAAATTATGATCCTCAAACTAAAAGCATTGAGTGGAAGAAGAAAAAAATTAAAAGCATTTTTGGCATTTATGATGACATAAATTTAAGCCCTTGATGGCAAAAAAAGAGATATTTAATCTCCATCATAATATTTTTGGGTATTAGGAAAGTTTCTCTTACAAAAATGTATGTGAATTAACGATCTCATCTTTGAAAGGGTCACTTTTTTCCTCGGTGAGGCTGCTTTTTCATGTTGTTCATTTTCCCAAAAAGGTTCATAAATTTAAATTAAATTTCTCTCAAAATTCATGATCACAAAGTGTGGTGAATGAGAGTCATTAAATGTTTAAGAAAAAATAAGTATCGAGTTCAGAATCAATGAATTTGATGCTTAATGCAGTGATGTTTGTAGAGCATGTTAAAATTGTGTAATCATGTGGTGCTGATGGAGCTTAATAATCACATCGAAAGATTTCTCTCGAGTCCTGATTTAACATTCTTGAGAATTCCTCCCATTTTTTGGAAAATCTGAATCAAACCTTGTCCAAGACAGAGACAATGAAAAATCTTAAAGTCGATGAGTGGACCCAATTAAGTTTTGCAACTTTTCAGTCTGTTAAGCACTTTTAAGAACTGTTCAGTTGCAGACAACTCTTAAAAGAAAGAAATTGAAGTGGAAATTTTAATAAAGCATTCTCTTCACGGATACAAAAGGCAACCCTTGCTATTTATAAGTATAAAGTATATATATAAAAATTCCATTCGAATAAACACCAAACAGATTAAATTATCGTTAAATTTTTGTTTTTCTTTTTATTGTGATTCGTTACGATTCGGAAAATAAAATTCATCGCTGCGTAACAAAGCCAATTAAACTCGATAACAAGGCAAAAGCAAACTAAATAAGAATGATGCTCCCCTTTTGAATATTTTATCAAAAAAAAGAATGAAAGAAAAGAATTGAAAGAAGCTTTCATTACCCTCCGACTACACAGTCACCAACAGCGTAATCTTTTATTCGCACTCATAATTTCTTCAAGGCAGCGAAAGAAAAACGATATGAAAATGAGAAAACACGAGAAACTTCTTCATCACTCGTACTACAGTGAATAAGAAAGAATAATTTAAATAATAGATCAAAGACAAAAAAAATATTAAAAAATCTGCGAGAAAAAAAAATTATGGTAGAAAGAAACGAAAACCGCTTTCATTGGGAATTTAAAAAGTAATGTCTAGAAGGGGAGCCACTTGTTGATTCGAAGCTATTTTGAAAACAAAAAGTATGCTTGAGTTGCTATTTTTGTTTAATAATGAGATTAAAAACATTAGCGACGTAACACTTGAACAATCCCAGCACCTTCTAGAAAATCTTTGATCACGTCTTATAGACAAGCAAAATCTTTTCAAACCCTCCACCATCATCAAGAGAATCGGAGAATCGTTTCTACAATTTCACCCTCATGATTTCGAATAAGTAGAAGCTATCAAGATTTCGCAATATTAATCGCGGGGAAATGAAATAAGAAGGTTTATGACAGCCGAGAGTTATAATTTTATCATCGCTCTTGACAGAGAAAGAAAATTATATGGTTTAAATATAAGTACGATGACTTGGGTGGATAATGATGATAATACAAGAGCAACAACAATTTAATTATATTTTCATCGTGTTTTATTCTTTGAAAATTTTTTTATCGCCATTCGACTCATAAGCTGAGCTCATGAAAGAAGCGACTTCATTAAAACCTCATTATGACAATTTTCATACAATAAAAAGTTTACTGAATTTCTTTTTTTCTCTTTTATTTTTTTTATAACTTTTTCAAGAGTGAAAAAAGCTTATCTTAGAGGGAAAAAAAGTTAGTTTAATCTTTGTGCTTCCACATCTTTTTTGTTATTGGATTGAAATGAGTTTCTCAGACGGTCTGAGACTAACTTTATGCAAAATAACAAATTTTTTTGTGTAATGAAATTTACTTTCGATTTTAACTTCTTCCTTAACTTGTAACTTCAAAGTTGAAGTGCAGAATGCAGATGGTAATTTATATTTCATATCATGAGATCAACAAAAGAAGAAAACACGTTTTAAGATTCATGACGAGTCAGATGAGAAAGATAAAACATTATGACATAAAAAATATTTTTCAAAGGAAATCTCAAGTGGTAAAACCACGATGAGAAGAATGTGAAATTCTTTATGCTTTGTGTATCATAAATGTCAAACGTAGGCAGAATGAAAGCAAGAAGACGAAAGGAAAATGTTTAGAGGCTTATTAGACTGAAATATTACAAATATCATCATTCATCTGGAGGATCCAAATCCATCAACAACGCTAGAGCTCAACATCATCTTAGTATGAATCCTAATAAATCATTTCTTCGCGTGCTCTCTAAAGAGAATAAAATAACATTACTGACATTACACATACTTTAACGTTCTCGGTTCTACCCATAAAAGGTAGAGAGATTCTCATAAATATTTCATCTTTTTATTTCCACAA